TAGTAGGTTTGCACATAAAAAATAAGAGACTTGACTTCACGTAGTGACTTCACAAAAAAAATTCCCAGAGGCCGAAAGCAGTGTCCCTTTACTGTGACTGTTCACGTTTTGTTCACAGCTGGGGATTGTGAAAAGCAGTGGCTGTCATTGCGAAAAACTGCAGACTCCGATCAGAACATGGCACCTCTTGTAGGAGTAGCAGCAGGACAGTCAGGTTTCAGGTATGCTTGATGGGTAGATGCCGTTGATCCACAAGATGGCATGTTAAAACTGTACTTCATAGCTTCAAAGGAGCAGGATCTAAACACTGTTGTGTTAGTGTGAACTGGAGCTAAAAGCTATGTCTTTTGGAAAAATTTTTAAAAAATAATGGCAGAGCTGCTTCAAATTGGATCTAGGAGCCATTTGAAATGTGGTCTTTTTATTTTTGCAAAGCAAAATTTGAGTGTCATGGGGAAAAAGTGAGAAAAAGCCCTTTTCTCTCTTACCACTAGAAGTAATTCTGTTTCTTTTTTTCTTGGCATTGTGTTGGGTTTGCATTCAAAATGTGTCAGTAAGTGGACACTGGTTTGCTGTAATGCAGCCACTGGTGATTCCCAGTTCGAACCATTTATGAGGGGCTTCATAGAAACCAAATACTTATATTGACTTAACAGTTCTTTTGGTTTGGGGATTATTAATTTAAATTATTTTAATTTAAGCTATTCAAGATTTTAAATGTACTTGGAGGGAACTAAAGTTTGTGGTTGTATTTTAAATAATGTGCATTTATAATTAGTATTTTTACTTGTATTGACTGCAAGTTTACACTGTATTAAAACTAAAACATTTGGAGCCTTTTTAGCTCCCTTTTAGCTTTCATGAAGCTTGCAATTTACTTTTGCGTCATTTTGGACAATAAAAGATAAATTAGTTCATTTTTTGGCTTACATGCATTGCCATTTATTGTATTTGTATGACATACTGCACAGAGAATGTTAAAGTTCAGACATAATACTCTTCATTTAAATGGAAGAAAATAATAATTTCTATAAATATTTAGGTTTGTGTCATTTTTCACTCTCATTTTGTTGCATAAGCCATGATGTTTCCCTCACCGAATCTCTGTGTTCTTTTTAAGGGTCTGTTCCAGAATATACTGAAAAATATGGAAAGGCTGTTGCTGACTTTAGCAGGTGTCAGATCAGGCAGTCAACTATTAATCTTCCACTACCATTTTTGACAAAACAAGAATCTCCAAAATATGAATAAAACCAAAACCACCATTAATAATACCGCCTTTAAGTTTGTAAGAATTAATGTATTCTAAGACTTTATTCTCTATTCAGACTTTATTCTCTATTCTATTCTCATCAACTGTATTTGTACTGAGTGTATTTGAGAAGTCTTTTCGAGTTTTTTTTTGAGAAGAGGAAGGTCTAGTTCAACTTTTTGCTATTATTCCACAAACTTCCACCAAAACTCCCCCTCCATGTCAGAATAGAAAATTTGAATGTAAAGGACTGTTTATTTCCAGTCCCTGATAATTGCTCTTTTTTCAATTACCTGACGATTGAAATGTCTCACATTCAATTTTTTTCCAATGGTTGCTATGTCCCTTAAGGGTGTAGTTATCAGGAGGGAGCTAATTGGTGGAAGGAACATTCTTCTTTCAGCAAAAGGCATTACCTTTCCCAGCCATTCAACTTACATAAGCATTTCATACACGTGCCAGAATTGTTTCTCATCTTTTGACTAACTGAGTGACCGCAAGGGATCTGATTTGTATTCGGTTACAGAATTACAAACTAGTTCACCTGAGTGAATTGAGAAAAACCTGTTTTTACTGCTGCTTGTTTTCCATCATCTGCCATGTTTAATCCCAAGAGAACAATACGCAGCCTGTCACTGAGCTGTTGAAAACAGATTTGTTACCTGGCTCCCTGGTTTACAGAGCCCTACTAGAGTTTCTACTCGTGAATTACTGAGGTTTTGCATGTGTTTGTAGTCAGGAGATGTAGTGAGCATAAGAAGATACTGGAGTGTGATTTTTATCATGTGATCTGTGTCTTCTTAAAACCTATTTGAGTCTATGGGTGGTCTTGTTCTGACCAAATCTTCTCCAGCACAAGTAGTTTTTATAAGAAATGTTTATATTGCCTGGAATAGTTGAGAAATATTTCTAAGAAGTATTTGTATTGCTGGATATGAATGTATCAGAGACTATGAAGTGTAATTTTTTTTTAGGTGGGATCTTGAAATCTGCACTATTATATCATTATGTATTGTTTTCAATTCAGAGGAATTTCATACAAATTATAAAAAATGCAGTTTTTTCACATTTTTCTCTTGTAACTCTTTCACAACATAATTTGAGGTTTCTAAACCTACCTTGTATAGTTAGTCTCTAAATCCCCATTAAAAAAAAATTAGTATTTGTGGTCCAAGTGCTTTGGAAAGCACAGCCCTATTATCAGACAAAGTACAAATGGCTCTCTGCTTTATAAAGGTTACTCTGTACGTTGTTACTCCATACATAAGCAGACTTTTTTCCATATTGGCCTGATATAATCTAAGAGCATTTTTTTCAGCGGAGATCTATAGCAGCTCCTAATGGTATTTTTCTTAAAAGACTGTTTGCTTACTGTAATATTTCTATCATTGGTGTTTCCAGCTGTACTTTTCAGTCTTGGAGCCTGTCCTGTCTTTTGAGAAGTCACCAAGGCTGCCTGTAGGATAAAGCTAGGTACTGAGTGCACCCTGTGGGCACACAAAATCTCTGGGATTTAATACTTGCTGTGTCTTCATCAGGTGGCCTCCTACATCAGCAGGCATTTCCAGATAGTGTGTAGGCTTTTCATGAAGAAATGGTGAATGACAAAGCATGGTGTGATCGTGGTCACCATTGAGACCACTCTTCAAGAAAGGCATAGCTGTAGTCAGAATATAATATCTTTCTGTTGTTAAACAAGCTTTTCTGGTGGTTAACATATTAATGTCAGTCAGAGCTGAAGCTCCATAATTATTTTTGGTGTGGTAGCAGTGGAAGCCCATCTGGTAGGCAGGTGAAGGAACGGGATGTTAACAGCAACAAAAAGTGCATGCATAATTTTTTGAGATGGCTTTTATAGAAACATTAATTGTAAGTAAAAAAGTTGTATTTGGACAGAGTGTAACATTTAGAATAGGAGATAACTAATATTGTGGCTAGAACACCCAAAGGCAGTGTTGTCTATCTGGGCAAACTAGATAAGCTTTATGAGCTTTTATCTGGGGACAGAGGAATAACTAGATGCTGTATACTTGTACGATGTTTCTGATCACATACCTATTACCCCTTTTAACTCTGGGCATCATTCTGTGTTGAAGAATGCCTGTAAAGTGTGTTTTACAGAGTAGGGATTACAAATTAAGCCGTCTCCAGTATTAAATCCTTATGCAAACAGAAGATGTTGCTGATCTCTTTAAAATGTGGCTGTAGCGATACCCAGTTTTCTCAGTTCAGGAATCTCTTAGTGTCAGGCATTCCAAATTGGTATTATTGCTAACACAAAATCTCCCCTCTGAGAATGAATTCAAAAGTTTGAAAATAAAATGAACTTTCATATATGAATAGCAGGAAATATGCATAGTTTGCTAGATTTATTTTTTTTAATAAGGTAAGTAGAAATCTTTTGTTTGAATTTCTCCTGCTGTTGTTTTTAACTATAGAAATGGCAAAATGGTTAATTCCAGACTTCCCAGTATTTCCTAAGGAACTTCTCTGTAGTCTCAGTAAATTTGCTAGCAGATCTTAATATATTAATCAAAGACTAAATGTGATCAATCTCCAATTACGTATTTTTTTCTTTCTCGAATGCATCATTCATTGAAAATTATGATGATAAAGGAAAGAGCTTAGGCTTTTCCAAATGTCTTCCTCCTTTGCTCATCTGTTTCCTTGATGTGCTTTGCATAATATTATGACTACATAGAGCAAATCAATTATGCCAATACAAGGGGAAATTGGGTTTGTAGAAATTACTCATGTATTTCTTTCATAAGGAACATAATCTTTTCTTGTACATTTGTATATTTACACTGATAATAAACAGATTAGATTGTTGTGCCAAGAAGTGTTGGGATTTGTGACACTGTGACATAAAACCTGTCAAAAAGCAAATGTCTGTTCTAAACAAGACATTGTAAACAATTCTGTACTTTTAAAAACTTTAATTATTAATCTCTGTGGTTTACCTAAGCAGAGGATAGAACCTATTGCTGTAATACAGCAGATTAAATCCCATCCATTTAACCTCTCTGTGCCTGATAAAGAAGGTGATATTTGTCTTTCTTTTTTTTACTGTGACCTGTAAAATAGTACTGATTTGCAGGTTAGCCAGTGTTGACTTTTCTTACAGTTAGCAACCTTACCTAGTTTGTAAATGCAAATAGTCATTACAATTGCTAGAAGTGTTTTAAATTTTACCCATCAGTAAAGAGAAAAAAAAGTAAAATACATATTAAAATCAGCTTTTTAAAAAAAGATCTTAGGTGGAAAAAAATAATGTGCTAAGTTTAAATATGAAATTTTAATTTAGCTTCTCTGTGCATATCACAGTCTGATCATTTATTGTTATGTAATCACAGAGTATTTTAATATTACTTGATCTAAATAACAGTAGTAACACCTATCCATTATAAATCCCAAAATGTGTGTAGAGAATATATCTGTATATAACAACTTCTATATCACTATAGATTTTTAACTTGAATTTTAAAAGACATTCAGCGGTTGCAACCTGTGTGGAAGCAATAACACTTCAGTGAGGTCACTTAAAGGTATTATGTGAAAATAGTGTTCAGAAACTACATACCTGGAATTCTTTACATACTATAAGCCAAATGTGATGCAGTAAAGGATCAGTTAAAATCTCCCTTATCTTGAAGTTGTGCTCTGACGTTATACTAAATCATGATTTCTGTAAAGCTGACTGAGTCTCATTGCTAAGTGTCATGCCTTTCTTTTTTTTCTGTTTCAGCTGAGACAATCCCAGTCGTACTGCACAGACACAGAATGCCTTCAGGAATGTGAGTGACTATTGAGATTGGGTGCATGGAAGTAAAATAAACAGTAGTAATTAAAATACAGTCTGACTGGTCTTCAAAGTGCAGCTGTTGATTTCATGTTATAGGAACATATTACCTTAAATCAAATACTACAATACTGAAATTGTTATGTGGAGGAAGTAATTTCTGAGAATCTGTGGTGCAGATGGACATTTGTATATTGGAAGCATTGTATGGAAGTGTCTATGGTGAGAAGACTGGAGGTATCAGTATACCAGCATGACCATTGATTGGGCCTCAGGCATTACTGAATCTTACCATTAGCCTCCAAATAGGATCATTTCAATTTTTCCATAAGGAGAAAATTTGGAGGCGACTTTATCTGTCTGCCTTACAGTCATAGCAGCCTAACCAGTGAAGACTGGATGTTCAGCACAGAGCCCCACACATGCACATGTTCACAGCTGAGGCTGAGTGACTTACTGTCAGTACTGTGAACCCTCTACTCCACTGTGAGGAAGAGGAGATTCCCCACCACCTCTGACTGTTAAGCTGACATACACTGTGACTGCATTTCTGTTGACTTGGCAGCTGTGTAGTTAATGAAGCAGAGGACTAGTGTGTACGCTTCCTTGAAATTTGCTGTGAAATACATCTAAAAACCTCTCCCAAATGGTCAGCATTTCGAGGACAGTCAAACGTTACCAGCATCTGCAGGGAAGCATAGCTGTGCAGAGGTTATGCAGTAATGTAAGCTTGCCCTGAGGTGCTCTGTTTACACTTTGCATGGTCTAGAGGGAACATCGCCAAATGCTTATAAATAAAAATGAAGTGGATCTGTTTTTCCTATATTGCTTTACAAATTGAGCATATGAACTCATTCAGTTAGCTGGCATCAGGACTGCTGTAATGCTTGAAGGGAGCAGGGAGCACGAGCAGTGTTCCTGGAAGCAAGAGCTGCTGGTGTCTCTGTCTTCTACAGGTCTAGGAGCAGTGCAGGCAAGGTTTCCAGGATCTTGGGGAGACAGAATGCCTTTGTTCACTGTTTGGTTTGAGCCCAGAGGGCAACTGAACACCCCCCAGCTGTTCATTCATCCCTTCACCGCCAGCAGTGGGAAGGAGAAAAATCAATCAAAAGGCTCTGGAATAAAGATAAGGACAGGAAGGGGTCACTCACCCATTACAGTCACAGTCAAGACAGGTTCATTAGGGAAAGAAAAAGGACATCACTTTAATTCAAAACACTAACACCACCACCACACTAACACCACCACCATTTAACAGACAGAATGGGACAGTGAGAAGCATTACCGTATCTTATAAACACCTCCCTCCACCTCTTCCTTCTTTCGGGCTCAGTGTTGTTCCTGATATCTCACTCTCCTACCCCCAGTGGTGCACCGGCAGGTGATGGGGGATGCAGTAAGTCCTGCCACTTCTTCCTCCAAGGGGAAGAAGCACTCTTCTGCATTCTCCCCTCTGCTCCACGTGGCGTCCCTCTCATGGGAGACAGTCCTCCACAAACTCTCTCTGCCATGACTCCTCCCCACGGGCTGCTTTCTTCTTGAGATGCTCTGGCGTGGGTCACCTCCACGTGTTTCAGTCCTCCCAGCACCGAACTACAACTGCGAGGGCTGCTTCTTCCCACAGAGTTCTGGGGGTCCTCCACAGGCTGCAGGCGAATCTCTGCTCCTCCCGTGACCTCCATGGGTGGCAGGGGGGTGGCCCTGCTGTCTCACCATGGGATACAGGGCAAGGTGTCTCTACTCCAGTGCACCTCTGCCCCCTTCCTCCTCCTTCCTTCCACTGACCTTGCATAGGTGTCCTCATAACTCCTCCTCACAGGTTTCTGCTCCACACATCCCATTCCCCTTCTTAAATACATTATCACAGAGGCACAGCTCCCATCAATAATTGGCCTGGCCTTGACCAGAGGCCGGTCTGAGTTGAGCCAGGGGAACTTTTGAGAAGCTTCTCACAGGGGCCACCACTGTAGCCCCCCTACTCTGCTACCAAAAACCCTGCCACACAATCCCAGCACATTCACTCTCATGTTCCTCCCTCTTCACTCCCCAGTAAAACCTGTTTAGAGATGAGCATCCAGCTTGGACTTGCACTGTGCCCTCCCAGTGTGAAACAGTCCCAGGTTCATTGCCATGTTGGGCTGAAGGGGAAAAGATAACCCCTGGGAAAAAAAAAATGGGGTGCACATGTGCCATAAAAGTGCTGCTAGCTTTACACTTATTTTTGTGACTTTACCAAGTTATGTTGTGTGTCTGGCATTTCCAGCACCTCTCTCCCAAATGCACTTGTCCTAGGGCAGACTTTTTTTTTTTTTTTTTTTTTTTTTTTTTTTTTTTGTAATCACAGGCATGTAGGAGAGGGAAAGAGTCAGATGACAGGAGACAGAATATTTTCTGTATTAGAAGTAGGCACAGACAGTCTGTGCAGCTTTCTGAGCTTTCGTCCACAGTCAAAACCAAGAGATGGTAGGTCATTCTCACTCAAGCCTTGGGAGTCTTGGCTCATCAATATTTATGAAGCTCTTAGGCTAAAGACTGTATAAATGAGTAAGTTCTGTTATGTGTGGGCACAAAGCTTGTGGGACAGCTTTCATGCTAACCAAGCTATAGTACAGTGGGGATGTGAATGGTTTGTGGCAAATAGCTTTCCATCCTGAAAGAGATCCTTGTAATAACTGTGCAGATGCAAGCAATTTGGCAGTAATTGTTCCAAACCAGTGGTTTGTTTCAAAAACCAAAGCAAAAATTATAGAGTAAATTCTCTCCTACGTTATTATATTGCCTTAAATTTAGTTCCAGCAAAGGTATTTTTCTGCTGATGCAATGACACTGACTGCCTATTTGTCAGATTATTTTGTGATGCTTCTGTGATTCTGTGCTTGGGCCAGCATGAGCTCTGTAAGAGCAAGTGAAAGGCAAAACCAAACAGATTGAGCCTGGAGAAGCTTCTAGAGATGTTTTTAGGGACAGATTAAAACAATTCTGGGCCAGTCTTCTGTCTATTGCTTCATCCTGTTTTGATGAGCTGTACTGTGATGAGCTAATTTTTGAGGTTGGTCTCCTCTTCCCTAGGTCCCACAGCTCCATTTCCTCTTACTTGCTGCCTTTGATTCCTTATTTCAGGACCTTGATATGAAGAAGCTTGCTTCACTCCCACCCATTTGCTCAATTCCTAGGATTTGGTCTTCCTTCTGTAAGCGCAGCTGGGAATGTTGTCATACACAGATTCTTAAGTTGCAAGGTTGTGGAATAACTGATGAGATGTATGTGGTTTTGTTTTGGGAAGGGCTGTGGTTCAGCCAGTGTCACAGCAGCGTCATGTGTTATGCTGTTGCTACCAGCTGGAAGTTCTCAGAAACACCCTGCTTTGATTCTTCCTGAGCACAGATCAAAGCAGCAGCACCAAGGCTCCCCCATTTGCTTTTTTGTGCTATTAGCTCTAAATTCTTATTTATGCTTGTTGGCACCATTATATTGTAGTGACTACCCTGCAGAGTTTCCTCCCAGCGTCAGGACCAGTGCTTTTGGATTTGTACTCCTACTTACAGGAGGATATGAGCACCACTTAAGAGATATTTGGGCACTCTGCTTGATGGCTGTTCTCTGCTGGTTCTGTCAGAGTGTCTGCTATGACAGTAAAGCATGTATCAGAGTCTGATGACTGTTCTCTCCATTTCAGGGGGTGCCTTGGAGAAAAAAGGCTGTGAGTTTTGAATATGCATCACATTTAATATTCTGTTGGGATTGTTCATGCTCAGCAAATCTTACAGTTTCCCTTGAAATGAGGAGTAAGAGTGGTAATTCTTTTCTGAATTCTAATGCAAGTGGAGCAGGGAAGATTTCTCAGAAGTATGTGGCGGTTGCAACATCAGTGGTTCAGGGAGGATCCCAGCTGGTACTGAGCTGCTCGGATGGCTCATGGCCCTTCACAGTCAGCCTTCCATGTCAAAGGAAATGAGGGGGCTACTGCCTGAGGTTTTTTATTGTGTTCTAGCAATTCCCAGATGTTGTGACCTGGATTTACCACATTCATATTTTCAACACTATTCTCAGTGCTCTGCCAGCTTCTAATATGGTCAGAGATGACTGTCTCATATGTTGTCTACTCTACTTCCAAATTTTTATGTATTTTAAAATGAATGCATATCTATGATTCATCTTGAGTTGTACTCATCTAGGGGAGTCACAGCAGTCTAACCTAATGGCAGGAAATGTCTGCCAACTCTTGCCTTCCTCTTCTGGTAATTCCCTTCTCCCTTCCTCTGCTCAAGTCCTTTTTGACTTTCTTCAGTTTCCTTATCCCTGCCTTTGAGAGTGTCAGTTTGCAGGGATTATCTGCTGAAGGTCCCACAGGCGCTTTGTCTTCCCTGATGATTCATCTGTAAAATACCTCTCTTCATAGGGTTTCTTGCCTTTCTTTCACAGAACAGGCAAGTCTAAAAACACTGTGAAAAGAAGGTGGAACAAGTCAGAGAGCATGCTTTTGCCCTTTCACATACAGATGTTAAACAGTAAAAAGCTGAATATCCAAAATGAGGTATTTCTACTATAAGAGAGGAGACAAAAAGCACCACGTGGAATATACTTTTATAGCAAAAGAAATGCAATCTTTCCCCCTTTTTGTAAAGTACAACCTCGCTTGGAATGAAAAATAGCACTTTAAGAGAACTAAGTTCACGTAAGGAGTATTTATCAAGGGCATTTTTTATTTTAGTATTGTATTCTTGAAATTTCAGTTGAACAATCAGGAGGGGTTGACCTTTAATCTTTAGAAATTATTTTTACCAAAGTCATCATGTTAGTAGCTTTGACTGCCTTCTAGTAGAACATTAAACAAGGTGCCAGACATCTGTCACAGAAGATTTTTTTTTCTCTTCCCATTTCTTGCTGAGAGGAGACTAGTTTATGTGGCCTAGTCTCTGTTTCTGTAGGAAAAAGCAAACCAAAGAACTGTATCTTGTAAATGAATCAACAGATAGGATTCACCATAGTCATTAGCTCCCATGGGAACTCAGATCAGTTCCTCATAAAGTTTTCTCCTGCACAGAGATAATTCAGCCATGGTGTAAAAAATTCCAGGTGACTGCAGGGGCAGAACTGCAGAGCTACTCACAGGCTTCATTCAGAAAGTGCATGGATATATAGGTATGCTGAGCCCAGGGAACTAGATACTCTGAAAATAAAGCCCTTAGGATGAATTTGGTGTTGTGTGGAAAGACTGTTTAGAGATTATAAAGACTCAGTGACATGGTAATATGTACTGTTACATTCTGTACTAGTTGGTGTCTCCCAGGCACTGGAAATTAATAACCAGATCCATCCATCAAAGTGGGTGGTGGCAGAGACATTAATCTGTGAGGTCAGAACAGGACAATCTTCTGTCCATCTGGAAATATTAGAAAATATCATCCACAGGTGCTCTTATAGACTTTATTCTTCAAGGAATCAAAACAACACTTCTAAATTTCCTGCAAAAATATCAGTTATAGGTAAAAGCACTGTGGCTGTGAACTCAAAAATATTTTTTTTCTTCTGCCCTTTGGCATAAATTCCGTCCTGCTTGGTTTCAGCTTCAGTCAACTGTTCTTTATCTGTAAGTTGGTCTTATTTGATTATTTTGTGATCTTGGCGATGGAGGCCTTTATAGCAAAACATCATTGTCTTCTACATATACTGCTCCCCGTTATTACTCCCAGTAGCTGAAACAGCTTCTTGTCTGTTCTCTTGATTTGTGATGCAAAGCTTTGAAAAGTGTGATTCACCCCAGCTATGTGAGATTTTGCTTATCCTCATCTCCTTATGTTGAGAGATTAAAGTAACAGATTCTGAAATATCTCACACCCTTATTAAAACACATGGTCATTTGTGAGAGATGTGGGTTTAACGGTTCTTGAATAGTGTAAACAGTGTTGTGGCTGTTTTAGTATTATCTGGCATGCTTTGAGTAGGTAGTACAGGGCCAAGCTGTGTTAGATGAGCTGTTGTCTTTCTTAACTTAGTTTAGAACATGTTTCAGCACGTTTGATTCCATCTAAACCGTATTACAGTGCAGGCTGGAAGAAACTGTGTCATGCACGAACGCCTGTGGTTTCCCTCTGTGATCCTTTCCTTGATCTGTAGCATGAGCTGACCTAGCAGCATTTACTTACCCCAGCTCCTGTTTAACCACAGACCCTAACTGTACTACGGTTCAGCCAATATCCCAGAAGGCAGCCTGACTAGTCCCTGTTTCTCTGCATTGTATGGGGAATCCAGCCTAGCAGGTGATCTGAATTTTCAGTGTTCTACTGAACATATTATGTGCTGTTGAAGGTAATCTCAGGATGGCTATTAATGTTGTCTGGAAGCCTCAAAATAAAGCAGTTGTTCTTTTCATGCTGAATTACATGCTTACTGGATTTCATATATAAAGGTCATCCAAGATTTAAAATATTGATATATCATGTTGATAACTGTAATATTTTCCTGCAACAAAACTGCAGTCTAAACTCTTACCTGCACAATTCCATATGCTTTCTGAATCTAGAGTTTAATGAATTAGAGGCTGTAGCATTCTCATTTATTTTCTTTGCACTATACCTTCTCCTCATATATTCACTCAGATCTCCAAAAGAATTGTCACTTGTAATTGTATATACTTCTAATCATAAAATTCCTCTACATTTGCAACCTCTTGAGTTGTTAAATGTCTATTTTTGGAACATTTAAAAGGCAATCACTCATAGAAGTTAATGGTGGTGTTTGTGCTGCGAGAAGCATGCACATTTATAATACATATTTTTTTCTTCTTTGACATTTTTGAGTGCATGTGATGTTGGTAAAGGACATCAGTCTAACAGCTCCAGTTCATGAAGTCTTACTCAGAGAACGGCAGTATGTGAATGGCATAGCTGTAAGCTTCCTCACAGTGCCCCTCTGCTGTGTCTTAGCTGTGTTATGAACAAACTGTTTTCATAGATGAGCCTTAAAAATGCTACCCAGTATGACAGCAATGAGGGTGGTTCTTTGGTATCAGCATTAACGTTCAAGGAAATTACTCCAGCAGCTCACTGGGTATAAGTTATCTAGCAACTGTTATATAAGAACAACTTCCAACTGATAACTGAATCCAGATGACTCTGTAATGATATGATCCAAATGAGTTGAGGTAACTGAAAAATCTTGACAGATACAAGTGTCTCTGTGGAATTTCCCCAGATGTTAAATTTTTCAGCTTGACGAATAAAATAGAATAGCTCTTCTCTTTCTGAAGGTTATTCATTACAGCTTTGTATTAATTTCTCTGTGTTAATTGATCATCTAGATCATTAATGAAGATGTTAGGTCTTTAGATACTGTGGTAAATGGAGCCATGGAAATACCATAGATAATTAACTACACATTGGTTTACACTTCAGCTGACATTAGTTACAGTTTGATTTTTTGAAATCGTGTTTCAGAGGACAAGTTGTTTTCAAATGTGCAGGTATTTGCAAGAGTTTCTTGATCCAAAAAGGCTAACAAGCCATCTCCAGTCTGAGGGGATTTTCTCAGTTTTATTTTCATGCTTTGATGTCTCAGCCATTCTGAATGGAAATTAGGTGTAAAATTTTTATATTGTGTTTCTGGGCTTCACTTTTTCATGTATCTCCTCAGCATTTTTCCCCCCTCCTGACAGATAACATTTTCCTTGATGCTATCAGAAATACCACATAAACTGGATGATCAGTCATGGAGATCTGGCATATTGACCCTGACACTTGTTTGAACAAACTTTCAATAAATAACAGTAACAACCAGTTATAATTTTGTTGGCTTACAGTAGCCAACAAAATGATAACCGGTAGTTTGCTCCCTTCTTGCTAGAACTAGCATATTCTCTGTTTTGGGGCTTCTGTTTGGAGTCTAAACTTTCATCTCTTTAGTCTTATTTTTTTATTTGTTTGAGGCAAAAAAACAAACACCAACATACAGATAGGAGTTTTCACACATAAATATATTTTCCATCAAGTTTGATTTCTTAAAAATCAAGTTTGATTTCTTAAACAGAACGTGTGTGTTTATCATTTCCAGTTCATTAGGATTTAATGGGAACTAAGAAATATTCATGACAATTCTGAGTATTCCAGTAGAATCTTGTGAAATAGATTCCCTTTTCAAAGGGATAAGAAATATGATTTAAAAAACAGTGTAACACTAACCAAGAATTACTTGTCTTAAAGCAAAAGAAAGGAATAATCAGAAAACTCAATTGAAAAATATTTCAGGTTTTTTTCTGAGACTTATGTTGCATTTTTGTTTTCATTTTGGGGAAAGAACTCTGTTGTCACTCTGTTATAACTTGAGTTTTCCTTGTCTGTAGTGCCAGGACCAAATTCCTCTGGTGACAATGGCATCAGCTTTGCCATGATAATGATGGCCTGGGTGGTGATTGCACTTGTCTTGTTCTTACTGAGACCTAGTAATCTGAGAGGATCCAACACAGCTGGAAAGCCAACTAGCCCACATAATGTAAGTGCATCTTCAAGTGCCCTGCAGATAGACTCTACAATAGTTTAAATGTATTTTGGTTTATTATAGACTATTCTACAGTAATTTTTTTCTTAATTATTTCCCCTATATTTTATTGGAATGCCATTAATAATGCAAATAAGCAAAACCAAAGTGAAAGTAGAATCACAAAGGCCAAGTGTGAGGCCTGCCATGTGATGGAGCAGGGTGACTAAGTGTGGGTCATAATGTCCTCTGAACACTGGCTGTCCCTGGCTGGAACTGCCTCCTGCCTCCTTAAGTACAAGGGGAAAATCACAGCTCTAAGATAAGTCAGTAAACAAAATTACTGGGAAGGTGATGTTTGTCCTAGATGTGAGATCTTGGAAAAATCCCTATTGATGCAGGAAACACTATTGTTCTTTGATGCTAATTTACTCTGAATATTGAAAGAAATATTGAAAGATGCTAAAAGAAAGCACAGTGTAACTCTTCTGAGTTCTTTTATTGCTAAATACAATGAAGCACTGTTTGTAATACAGTATATGTTTTTTTTCTTGATTTTCCTCCTTCCTTCCCCCTAGGGACAAGAACCACCAGCCCCACCAGTGGACTAGATGTTCAATATTGGAAAAGTTCAGCAGCTAAAACCTTGCACGACCAAACGAATGAAGTGACCAGATTACTCCTAAACCACATACAATACTGTTTCCTTTTCTCATTTTCATAGAGCAGAATTATAATTTAGCAGTTATCTTCACGAACTGCTTTTAGCGACTTCAATTTTAAGTTAATTTTTGCATTGTATGTTATTACAATTCCTAGTAGATTGTAATTTGAATAATGATAAGGCGTTGCAGGGGTTTTTTGGTTGTTAATGTTACTGTGGACATTCCACTCAGTCTCTTTCTGTTACAATTATCTTAATTTCTTTGCAGTGATTTCTGATATGCATTGAAAGAAAAAGAAGATCCCTGTGCATCTATAATAATGGAAGGTTACTGTCCTTTCTTCAGATTAATCCACATTTTTTCTCGAGTATGTTTTTGAGAGTTGTATTATGGTTGCAACTATTAGCTTAATTATGTGGTGAAAAATTGAAATTATTTTATATTTGCCCTGGGTTCAGAGCAGCTTTTAGTCTGGTCTTTGGACAACTAACATAGTTTTCAGGGTTGTTGGCAAAAGCATGGTTTGTCCACTAGGATTATACTATGTGTGTGTGTTTATGCGCAAAGAAGTGAATGTGATAATTTCCACTGTCAAAGCTTTGACATACATATTGGGAACTTTACACAAAAGATTATACCACCAGAAATTAATTTAATCTCGTTCATTAATTATATATCTTATTCAATATGTTGTCAAAAAAATGTATTCCAAAAATGGATTTGTTTACTTATAGACTTTATGAAAAGAGAAATTTAGTGAGAACTTGGTAAAATTTTCTGTCCTGGTACAGTCTTTTAATAATTGTTATCTTAAGTTTTTAGCCATGATGTAATATATACTGGGCAGGATGAAATCATACCATGAGGTTACCAAGGTTACCAACTTTTGGTATAAAACATATACTGGATATTCAGGTTTTTTCACCTGTATGTTATCAGCAGTTCTTAACATTTCATCCTTATCTACTGATTGTAATTGTAGAATAACAAACTTGGACGTTACTACATATGGCATGTCTTTTCCCTCTAATAATTGTGTGTATGTGCGGTGTGTTTATGCGTGCGTATGTGTGGCTGTGCACATACCTGTGCACATCTCCCATTGTAGCAAATGGGAATGACTTTTTTATGTACATTAATTTAAGAACATTTTAAAGATGTACAGAAAAGTGACACTGTATATTTTTCTTGATCAATTTGAAAAATTGATGAGAATAATGTAAAGAACATTTTTATGTTACCAACATGAAGCTTCTTTCCGTAAAGGTCAGTAGAACAGACAAATGGGAATTCAAAGCCTTACTCTACAAACCTTTATTTCATGAGGACTTAAGTTACAGAGCTGAAAGGAGTAACTCTTAAGATGCCTAAAGGTTTGTATTAATGGGCTCTAACAAAAATCTCACATCAGATCTGGTGGTTGACAGACGCAGGGTTTTCCTCCTCAGGGTAAATGGCGGGCTGGCTAAGCCTCCTTGTAAAGGTACAGCATAGACCTGAAGAAAGGCTTCTGTAATTTGACGCAATTGCCCTTTGAATTTCTGTTGAATAGTGTGCTCCCAAGCAAAAAAAAAAAAAAAAAAAAAAAAAAAAAAAAGATGATTGGGCCAGGTGCTCTCAGTGATGTCAGTGCAGTGCAATGGAGCTGCAGCAAAGAAACTGAGAGAATTTGTCCTATTATGTCTAATGGTGTACAGGCCACAAACACTGTGTAAAGATGTCACTGGGACAAGCAATCTGACTGTGCTTGCTTTTTGCCTTCCATGTATGTTTATGTTTGGGATACTGTTTTGAACAGAACAGGTAATACAGCACCATTTTGTTGAACCAACAACGGAAAACATATCATCTACAGTTACCTTTTCTCCAAGGATTTTTGGCCAGAATTCTTCACTGTCAGATGCATAAACCAGGCTTCCAATTGATTAAAAAGCCAACTGCAACAGGCTTCCTTTCAGACAAGGTGCCCCTCCTCATTCTGTTGTAAATTGGTGAGATTTACAGCAGATGCTCCTCACTTGTGAGGATCAGTCTCGATTTACTTAAATGTCTGTGTATTTATAATACTCACCATGTGCACCCAGCATTAACAGTCTTGGCAAATGATCTTTTTGTTCAGAGTAATGTGTTTTACATTTAAATGAAGTCTTTGCTTGAAATTCCTTGAAGTAATTGTCCCAGTAATTTTATACATGTATGCTTTCCTCATGTAAATTGCTATTTTAAATTTTCTATGTAAAAGAAAAAACATTGGAAATATTTTATTGTAAAATGTTTTACTGAAGAGCCAGGCCACTATCCCATGTCAAAATATATGCCTTTTAAATTCAGATACTCTCTCCAAGATATAACCTTCAGACCACCACTCTTAATGAAAATAAAAGTATCTAATTGTAGGACTGTATTTTGCCACTCTTATTCATGTTAAATAGTGCCTTACTCATCAAGTAGTTGCACTGAAGTTTGTGGGACTACTCTGAGATAATGTACTAGTAGCAGCTTTAGTAAGGGTGGCAGAAATCTGGCCTTTAGTGATGTAGTTTGCGATGAAATAATTATATCATGGTTACAGATGTTTATGGTAAATTTTGAGAAGTGTGGAAGAGATTAGTGGTATGTGAAGCTTCAGAATGTGCTTAATTCTGAAATGAGGGTTTTAAGCTCAGTTAGTAAGAGATGCAAGTTGCAGCAACTTGGGAAATATGGAGGGAAGTTTACAATTATACCTTAGTTTAGAACTTTGTTAAAACAATAGTATTTTTAGAGTCTGCTTAACACAATTATTATATTCTGAAATGAGAAATCATATGTATTCATGTATTGTCTGCAGATCACTTAGCCTTGTAATGTTCATGATTCAAAAAGGAAGAGTGATGATGTGATGTACTTAATGTAAATCGGTGGTTTAAAATGTCTGAATTATGCCAAACAAAAAATCATCTGTGCCATTTGCGGTTTCCTAGTAATCTTTTACTGAGTACTTGGATTGGGATAAAGGGCTTGTACTATGCACTTTTTATTGACTTAACAAAATAAATAGCAATCATTAGTAATCTTTTGTCTTTGTCTCTTAGTCTTTGTATAAGATGCAGGACTGCACCAACCTATCAGTTTCTAAGGTAATTTGAAATCATCTCAAAATAAGTATTTGTAATAATAGTGTGTTATCTGTGTAACTTTAAAAATGTAAATTCTGACTTTCCTAATGGACACTTGCCTCCTGCATATATCTCAGGCAAGTCAGAACAAATTATAAGATGTTTCCAAGACACTTTGATAACCAACAGGGACATCTCTGCCTTTTGCTCTTCAAAGTAGTTATGCAACCTAGGAAGTCAGAAATAATACAGAGGCCAAATATACCAGTTATGTTACTTCATTTTAGATCAACTCCTACTATTTTGGGATTTGCAGTCCCAAAGACTTGTAGTCCCAGTTCATGACAGTGTTGGACCCAGAGCTGCTCTGAGGAAGGAAGACACTCTGATGGATCTGAGGCAGCCTGTAGAAGTAGGAGAGACCTGCTGCTTCCTCACTGTTCCCATGGAGTGCAGCACTCTTCCTCCAGCAGCAGAGCAGAAAATGCTGAGCTCTGTCTCAGCAGCAGCTCAGATCTCACGTTGGGGATTCCTATATTAATCCAAGGAAAAAAAGGGGAAATGCCAGGGGAGCGTTAGGGTTTAAAATAATATAAAGCTATCCGGAGATAGTGGTAATAAATACCAGAGAATCAGAAACAAAATCTGAATTTATTTTTAGTAATAATAATAATTAATAATTTAATAACAAGTACTTTAGGCATTTGAGTCAATTTAGAAACTGTATTATCTTAATCAGAGATCATTAATCAAGATTTACCCTTTTACGTGAACATGATGTTATAAATAACCCCTAAAACTAAAGCTAAACTTTAATTTTAAATACACTTGTTAAAATGTTTGCCAAGGATGCACTTGCCTATTATGAAAAGTGATGCAGAAAATTTAAATTAATTCTGTTGAATGGATCTGCATGAGGCCTAGCTGTTCAAGACCACCAGGTAAGTGGAAAAGTACTCTGCCCCAAAGCCTAAAAAAAAAATTGTATCCTATCTAGGATGTTTGGGAGAAATACATTAAATCATTGCAACAGAATATTCCATGAACATTAAGTGGGTTCCTTGGAAAAATGGACAATTTACATTCTTTTCTCCTTCTACCCCTACTTGTTCAGTACCAGCCAACAAACTACAGTGCAGTTCACTGCAAAGATGTGGGTCCTTGGCGTGAGGGAGAAGGCAAACTGATGAACCATATCCTCATTTGTAAAACAGCACAACTCTGCTGGCTTCCAGGGAGTTACACTCATCAATGTCAGCTGAAGATTTGTCTCTTTTCATACAAGGAGAATAACTGAACCTATGCTACTTGATATCATATCAAAATTATTGCCAACTCCCATAGCAGGCACTTTGCAGTTAAATATAGTAACTAGAAGAATCTGGCTTCTGCATTATATTTTTAACATCCACAGATAAAAGTGTGGGTCAAAGAGGATGTCTGAAACAAATGCATTTCATTACATGACAATAAATACTAATTCACCATATATATCCAGCTTTTTAAAGGTGTCAATCTTCTTGCTTGTATGGAAAGTGATATTATAAAATATTTTATACAATGTAAACTGAAAATACAGCACTAATTTTGAATCAAAGATCACAGTAGCAAGCTTTAAAAAAATCTTTGGATTTATGGGTTATTACATCCTCCAAGCTAGAGATTAAACAGATGAATAATTTCTGTGATGATGTAGTTTTCAGATGTACCTATTTTCAAATTCTTGAAGATTATTAATTTATTCTAGTGCAAAAAATACCCTTAAAATGTAAGACAAAATATTAAAGCTGAGAGAATGTTTCCTAAGCAGACCAACAAAAAAACCCCACCATTGTACAACATTTTGGAGGTCACAGCCATTGCTTTGACATAAAAAGTAAATCTTAGAAAAGGTGTAGGAGCTCAGTTTAGAGCAGAACTTGTAGACAAACTGATAAATAACAAACTGAATATGATTAGCAAGAAAATGATCCAGAGAAGCCCCCACAGGACTGGACACTACACTAAAGCATTGCATGTAACACATCAAAATCTGCTTTGTAGTTGTAGTGATGTGAGTAAAAATATGATTCCTTCAGCTCTCCTATTGATTTCATGCAGCCTTGTTTTTTCCATCCTCAGTTTCATGTAAATGAAATAGAAAATCCAAATAATCATTTTCCAATTCATCAAATATTAGCTCAATAATTTGAATCACAAGTGCATCTTGTCTCTGACACCCCTTCTGGCTATATACCCCTTCTGTTGGGCTTTGGTATATACAGGGAAGAGATTAAGCCAAATTTGCTTTCAGATAAAATGTAACAGTGGATCAAATCTTCACCTTATTTTATGTGAACAACTGTTAAAGCAATGGGACAACTCAGCTGAGTAAAACCCTTCAATGAAGTCATGCTACAAGATGATTTCTCCCCAATGGGGCTGTGATGAAAAGCAGTGCCTTATCTGGCTGTTCATAATTCCATTGCATTAGTTTTAGCATTTAAGGCTTCCTTACTGTTTTAGTGAAACGGCCGTTAAGCCTGAAATGACCCTCCTGTTGGGAGATTCAGTATGCTCTGTGTTCAGAAAAGCAATGCTGCTGCCCACAGCACTGCTTCTGAAGGAACAGCTTTCATGTCTGGTGTAACGTGTGTGGTTTCCAGAACATTAGAAGTGAAAAAAAAAAACCAAACAAAAAGTGCTATTTACTAAACAATAGATAAGGCTGTCAAATGTAATCATGCCTGGGAGGAAGTGTGAATAATTTCTGTGTATACTGATTTAAATAATCTAATTAGACCAAGGTCATACGCTGGAAAACAAAACATTGTCGTGCAGGAACTAAAAGAATAAGGTTTGAGAGGACATTCTTATCAGAGTTTTCAGGGTGGCCTTCCTCTGATTTTTTAAACATTGTTTTAAACCTGCACGGCTTTTCTTTTTAATTTATATTGCAATACTGTCCACAAGTCCAGCTGAATTATTGTCCAGATGTTCTGGGCCCTATACAAACAGGCACATTGCCCTGATCAGAAATTCGCTGTATTTGGAGACAAATTTTACCAATAATTTCAGTTTGGGGTGCTGGTTGTCACTAACAAAAATATTGTATTAGATTAATCATAAACTGCTTGGGCAAACTGTCAGACCAAACAGCAAAGTCTAAGTTCTGGTGAGCTGGAGAGGTGGCGGTGAGGAGAAGGCGTAAGTAGAGACATCCCAGGTGGAAAATGTCTCTCCTAACAACTTGTAACATTGGCTCTGTGTAGTTAACTGTTATGGTTGGCTCAGAGCACGCATAGGAGCTCAAGCACTCAGCTGCCTGCGTTCAAAACTGGCATAGGGCTTGCTTTATGCAGCTGTTGGAGCCTTTTCCAGAGGAACACGCATGCCCAGTCCCACACGTCCCTGTGTAATCTCTTTAGCTGCATCTCCTTCCTTCCTCTTAGCATTGTAAAACACAAAGCACGGATTCAAACACTAATCCAACTGGTCTGCAGGCAAGTCTTCTGGGCACTTTCGTGCCTCAGCCTGGGACTCTTGCCGAGTAGCTCAGATTTCCCCGTTACATGTGGGGTTGCCTCCTGGTTGTGCTGTGTCAAAAGCTAAAGAAATGCTTGACAGATGATGGTGGTTGTTGAATCTGTGTCAGATGTCAATGTCACAAACTGACTACACAAACACTGCTCCTTTAGTTAATGATCAGCTAAATCTGGTGGGGGATTAGTCTGACATTAAACACTCCCTAGATATGATACAAAACATCTTTCATATCAAGGGTTCCTTACTGGCTTTTCCTCTTATGTACAACATCAGGGTGCTATGTGAATCATGTACTCAGTTGCTCTTTCTTTCCTTCCCTCCTCTTCCCCTCATCCCCCAAATCCTACATAAATCATGATTTCTCCCTTGCATAATGGAACAGCTTGTACATGACAGGTGACAAGTGCCCCCTCCACCCACCTTTGGCATTCAGATCACCCTTCGCTCAGTGGTTTCTGCAAAGGCAGAGATGTGGCTTCAGGCCCACTCCCCTGTTACCACACAGAGAGGAGAACGTAGGATCCAATTTCATACTGGTACACTCTCTAGCCATTAAATTAAAAATACATAACTATTTTCCTGGGCCAAGATTTTTGAATGAAACAGTCTTAAATCTTTGGACTGCATGCCGCTTGATCCTGCTGGTGCTAGCTTTTGCCTGAGCCCACATTAAAGGTCAGGTCTATGAGAGCATATAGCAAAGGGATTGCTCATTTTCAGGATCAGATCACATTTACATGAGACAGGTAACTGAACTGCTCAGGCCAGATTAGACTGAGGCAGAAGATGCACCTTTAGGTACCTGAGGAAATACATTGTTGAAACTTGAGTATTGTTTGATTTTATGTACCTTTTGGAGTCCATGCCTTAAAACTAGGTTATTGACTAGATTATAAACTTGGTCCTACATGTATCTATAGCCTAAAATTTGCAAGTATCTCTAAACACACCTATTCTCCTTAAGCGGGTGTGTATAAATTATGATAATCACCCTTCTTGGACTTGGATGCTTACATGAATTACAGTTCAGGCTGTTTAGTATCAGGGTCTGAAAAGACGATCTCCTAGCAGGATGTGTAAGTGAGCAGTGCTCTCCGAAGTATGGATTACTTAAATTATTATGCAAATGAAAAGCTTTAAAATGTCAAATCCTGGATGAATGGAACAGTGACTCATTAGTCCTACCAGCAACCTTCTCAATTTTCATACTAAAATAACACACATAGGAATTTACCTGAAAAAAAACGAATGCTGAGATGAACTCTATAGGAAGACTTCTGACCCAGTCTGCAACACATGAAACTTAGTTTGGTGAGTGGCAATTCTTCACTGATGCTGTTGTTTAACTGAACGGGTGCCCTGCTAAGGTAACTTTCAGCAACCAGTTAGGGGGGGATTTTAATTAAAATCTTGCATAATATACATACTAA